CCCGGGTACCCCGGGCGTCAGACCCCCCCGGGGTGGCAGGCCGGGCTGGGCATGAAAATCTTTCTAGCCTAGTACCTATAGAAAATATATAAAAAAAACAGTGCGAAAAAAGGTCCTGAACAAGAATTTAAAATCCCTAAACGCTGTACAGAAAGGTAGTCCTTTTTCCCATCTGCGGTAGAGCGTCTCTGCTCTAGAAACTGCATTGGGCATTATCAGCCACAGCAATCTGGCATGCTTTGCCACTACCAGAGCAGCTCAGATGTGTCGAACCCACTGGGATGGACGGCGGTCCGTCAGGATCAAGACGAAGGGGACGAGGATGAGGGAGATGGAGATGGAGGGGATGAGGATGAGGGACATGGAGATGGAGGAGATGAGGATGAGGGAGATGGAGATGGAGGGGATGAGGATGAGGGAGATAGAGGGGATGAGGATGAGGGAGATGGAGATGGAGGGGATGAGGATGAGGGAGATGGAGATGGAGGGGATGAGGATGAGGGAGATGGAGATGGAGGGGATGAGGATGAGGGAGATGGACATGGAGATGGAACCGGAAGGGACAGTGCAGCTGCGACGCATACTCAACACGCACGTACTCCAAACTGTGCAAATGAAGAATGAAATGAAAAACAGACTGCAGCTGGGTTATACCCCCAGCGGAGTGACTGGCCTGGCCTGGCCTGGCCTGGTCTGGTACCGACAGTGGTACCGGGCAGAGAAGTGACGGGACTGAATGAATACACAGCCTCTCTGTGGGGTCAGTCCGTGGCCTGGTCCCACAGGCCGAACAGGCAAAATACACAGATAGATAGCCCTGGCTGGCTCTAGGTCAGGGCAGCCAGAGGCATGCTGCATCGGAGCAAATTCCACAAAGTGGGCAATCTGGCTGGATCTATTTCATAACCTCTGACAGTGTTTCTCCATGTTGTCGTGACACATTCCAATCAACATCACTGAATGGAAACATCAAATTAAATGCATATTAACTTGTTATTAAGACAACTGTGCCAAATGGCGGAGCAGCGGGGACCACTGTGTCTGCCTTGCCAGGGTGATCCCATAACCAATCTCGGGGAATCCGATCCAATATCAGATCCTTGGACGCAGTTTCCAAGAAGTACTGTAAGAAGCGAACTTGTATTCTTTTACTTTATTCAGCGACACAAACGGCCGTAAAATCTTTCAAATCTGAAATGATAGGTGCCACTATGAGGGGAAAAGAGAAGTAAAAATTATTCCAGAGAAAATGGACCTGTAGGGCGATCCGATGAGGACCCCCCTTTGGATAGGACAGGTGTGAGGGGTGTGGAATGGGGGATAATATTTCACACATGGAAAAAAAAAAAAAAAACACCGGGTTGA